CAGCACAAGTCTGGACTGGAGCTCATTCATCAGCGCGGCGGTGAACCTCTACAGAGTATCTGAGCTCAGCCTGTTTACTCATTTAAATAAACAAATAAACTAAAAACAAACAAACAAACAAACAAACAAAAAGCACATCTACACCGCCTAAAGGTCCCTGTAGTGTCCGGCTGCTCCCTTCAAAGTCCTCTGACTGACCGTGCTGGACACTAACAGGACTGACAGGAACGAAGCTCAACTTGGCTTCTTATTCGAATTCCGTTCCACCTTAAATGGTGAAACAGCTACGCCGAGGTTACTGAGCTCTAGCTGGCTCTTATTCCACCTGAGGCGCGTGAACGTACCTGTTTAAGGTGGAGCGGACTGTTCCGCTCAGATCCACGTTACTGTCTGTCTTACTCACCCGCGGTGCTGCAGGCGGGGCGGAGCGAAGCGCAGCCGCTTGAAGACGAACCCGGCGGGTCTCATAACTCAGATAATAAACAGGAACAGAGGAAAAAACAAATAAAGTGAATAAAATAGTGAACTCGGCTCTCCTCCTCCTCCTCCTGCTTCTACTGTACTCTCCTGCAGTCTGAGCGCTCTCCCGCCCTCTACAGCCCGCACCCGACACCGCAGCCCAGTGCGAAATACAATATAATAAAAATAAACTGTAAATATAAAAATAATAATATTAATCAAGGAAAGTAAAATATATTAAAACAGAACAGTCTGTAAAATGCAATACAATAGAATAAAGCACAGAAATTATGGTAGAATAAAATAAAATACAGAAAATATAAAAATAAAAATATAAAAATAATAAAATGCAACAAAATATAATAAAACAGAACATTCAGTAAAATACAATAAGCTACAATTAATACAGAAAATACAGTAAAATAAAATACAGTAAACAGAAAATAAACCAGAACTGTGAATGGATTAGTTGTTCTGAACTGCCAGCCAATCACAGCGCGGCAGGACAGAATGCGGGTGTGAAATAAAACCACACCGCAGTTCCGCGTGTCGTGACGACATCACGGTGTGACCGCTCACGCTGCGGCTGAAGGGCGGAATGTGCGGCGCGTGTTTTTAGCCGGTTTGCGTTTGAAGCGCGGAGACTCGGTGGGTTTATTTCCCTCTGTTCCGCCTCTTTTACTGCACCTGACAGAAAACGCGGACAGCGCGGAGAGAAGAGAGTAAATAAGACTTTATTTACTTTGTTTACAGAGTCTCCGACAGCTAACAGGCTAACGGGCTAACAGGCTAACGGGCTAACAGGCTAACGGGGTAACAGGCTGGTTTAACAGCTCAGTATGAGACAGAATTAAACGGAAACACCGCGTTATTAGCACAATTTATATCTTTTAGACAGTATTTAATGTGTGTTACTTCTTTTTATTATGATTGTGTCAAAGTTTATGTTCGAATTTGAACGTAACTGCTGCACCATTTAAGGTGGAACGGAAAATTGGACTGAAAGCTTCGTTCTGTTGTCACTTTGCGTGAAACAGTCTTCTTAAAGTAATCGTTAATGTTCAGCTACCTGCGGTTTTAGTCGCTGATCTGCGGTTTTGTGCGGTCAGTGGTCTCAGGATCATAATAAAACATCATCATTATTACAGCTGGGCAATGAGACGATATTTATCCTTATGAATTACATCACTGTATGTCTTTCTGAGTGAATCGTGGACATCGTTAGTATTTAAAACACTTCCTAACCGCATGTTGGATTACAGAGAGAGCTTAATTAGTCTTGTTTAATTGTGTTTAGTGTGTGAAATGTTAAATACACCTAATTGAATTCATAGTTTTTGATAGATGTGGGCTTACACTGTCTTTTCTCACTCATAAGACGTCATAAAAATAAATATTGTGACACACTGTGTATCGCAAAGAACTGTGACTCTAATTACTCTCCTCATTTTATCTGTGCTTTAATTCTGCAGCCTCTTCTGTGTGATGGCGCTCTCTTCACTCTGCAGTGCTCTGAGGGCACTGACCATGAGCAGCATCAGCACCAGGACCGCCACGCCGGTCAGTCTGGATTTATAACCACATGAAAAACACTTGCACCCCCAGGTCACTTTAACAGCAGCATAACATACAACAACAGACATGAGTAAACACAATAAACAGAGAAATAGTCATGGGAATAAGTAAGCGCACAAATAACTATAGAAATTTTACATTCCCCTCATCAGTGGACAGTTTCTCATCAAATATCTGGACAGCAGCAGTTCTGTGGGATATTGTTATTGATTTAAGATCAATAACACAGATCAAAGAGATAAAGTTTTACTGAAGCGCTGAGTTAAAGAGCTGCGTTTTCAGATGTTTATTAAAAGTGAGCTCTGAGCTCGACTGTCTAATAAAAGCTGAACTGAGCTCCACAGTTTAGAAGCAGAATAACTGAAAGAGTCTCTCCACGTTTTCTGTGTTTTACTGAAGGAGTTCAGAAGGTCAGAATCTGCAGATCTGAGATCATAAACAGACGGTCAGGAGCTTTAAGGTCATTTAGAGCTTTAAAAACCAGCAGCAGAGCTTTAAACTCTAAGAGATCCAGGCGGTCAGTGCAGTGTGTAACGGGGTGATGTGAGCTCTCTGTGTTGGTGCTGTGAGGATCCGTGCTGCTGTGTTCTGTACGGGTTCTAGAGGATGGACTGTTTTTTTCCAGTAAGATGATCATTACAGTGATCAACTCTGCTGAACAAACACAGCTACAAGTTTTATTTTTAATTTTAATCTTCGCAGTTCAATGGCTCAGCAAAATATTCTGTTCTTTTATTGTCTTTGTGGCTTCTGTGCTTGTACAGTTGCAAAATGACCGTTTCAGAAAAAGTTCCAGCTTTAATCTGTTATCAGAATTTTCCCCTGTGGAGAAGTAAATGGCGAGTCACAACCAGCAGATGGCGCAGTTCATATATAAATACATATATAAATATGATAAAACAGCTTAAAATTTGCTGATCAGCCCTATCTGAGAACTGAGTAGGCGTGGCTAATGAGCAGCCTGATTGACAGCCTTCTGTCCAGCACTCTTAGTCTGCTCCGCCCCCATACACAACTAACATCATAATCCAGCTTTTATGTGACCTTAACTGGACGGAGAAAGTCACAGACGGACGAAGCAGCGCATCAGTGAACGGACGAGTGAACGATGCTGGTGTTGTTCTATAAACTGTGTCTGACATAAAGAGAAACGTTTATTTTCTCTGCTTAGTCTGGATTTTGTTGAACGACTGTGTTTATTTGGTTGGTTATTACTTGGTTAGCAGGTTTTCAGCAGTTCTGTCCTGAACTCCGCTCTGCTGTCTGTACGGCCTGTGAATTCCTCACTGCCGCTCCGCCGAGGCTTCCTGACCACAGCCGCTCTGGGCCAGAACCGGACTCTCTGGAAACAGACAGACAAATACACCATCCGGCCTATTGGGGTTAAGAAGACCGGCGGGAGAGACTTTACCGGTACATTAGACCCACCAGAAAACCAGAAACTGTGTTAATGTGTGAAATCTGTTAAAACTGGTAGGGAAATTCCACCAAATTTTTCAAAATTCCTTCATAAAAATCCATTCATTCTCCTTTACGACTGCGTGGAAAACACTAGTCAGTTTTACTCAGAATATAAACAACAAAAACGACACACTTGTTCTAAATAGCCTGAGAATTTTGTTTTTGGCCAAAACGGAGCTCATTCTTTATCAAATATTAATATTATAATTGATTATAGTCGAGTTAAACATTCTGAAGAGAATACAGTTGAATCACCACCTTCAGATCGGTGCTTTTTTTCTGCCCCTGCTGATGTATTAATATATGGTGTGAAGAATATGCTTATGTTAATGTAATGTGTTTAACCCAGTCTGTCTGTCTGTCTGAAACGCAGGGAAGATCAGGAGACACGGTATCGGAGGTGGACACAAGCAGAGATATCGCATGATAGACTTCCAGCGGCTGCGTTATGAACAGGGTAAAGAGGGTCAGCAGATCGTAGAGAAGGTGGTGGAAGTGCGATACGACCCCTGCAGGTGAGGAACCTTCAGCCTGTCTGTTTTTTTTTTTTTTTTTAGCTCTCGAGCGCCGAGGCTAACATACCAAACAGGTCATAGAAGTTTGTGTCACTGAAAATCTCTTCAGGGTCTTTATAATTTAACTTTCATTTCAAAGTGTAATGCATATCAGAGTGTGTGAGCGGAGTGACAGGTGATTCCGCTCCTCACTCAAAGCCTTTCATCTCCACTCTGGGTTTTCCTTTACCTGCTCTTGAAGTGACGGCCCAATCACAATCTAGAAATCTGCTGAGGGTAAACAAACATACAAGCTTTTAACGCCACCTTCTTCTTCATCCTCACAGCAATACAGACGATGTGAGTCTGACTGTGTGTCTGTAGATGTTGTGATGGTGTGAATCTCCAGTCTGTAGTTGTGCTGATCAGCTCCAGCGCAGACGCTGTATATGAACGGCCGTCGTGTGTGAGCTGTAGAGTCGCTCCTGTGACTCGGTGTGAAATAAAGGACTGGCTCACGGGGCGGGGCGACACTGAAGCGGCTTCGGAGAGAGAGAGAACACTGACGCTCCGACTTTCTGAAAAATCACGGCGCTCCGCTCCGCTCACACACTCTGATGCTGCCAGTGTTATTCATCTTTTCTCTTTATTCTTTGTTGTTTTGCTTAATTTGATTTTCTTTTATTACATCTTTATCTTGTGTGTGTTTAGCACTTTAATTAAAATATTATTATTATTGTATCTCCAATGTAAAACTCATATTTCAGACACAAAAGGGGTGTAAACTTTCGCTGAACTTTTCCTTTAAACTCAGTGTGAAAAAGATCCTCTGTTCTGCAGTGCCTGGAACCGAGTGGCGCTGATCACTGTCTGCTCTCCGCAGGTCAGCAGATATCGCTCTGGTTGCCGGGGGGAACCGTAAACGCTGGATCATCGCCACGGAGAACATGCAGACAGGAGACCTGATCAAAACCTCCTCCGAGATTGGACGGATGGCAGTGCTGGCTAATGAGGGCGACGCCCACCCTCTGGGTGCACTTCCTGTGGGGACTCTGATCAATAACCTGGAGCTTCACCCGGGAAAAGGGGCTCAGTACATCCGCGCCGCAGGTACCGCGCTCGCAGTTCACTGTCTGAACACTCACCGTTGTTTAAAAGCACATCTGTAAACAAACATCTGTAAACACAGTGCCGTTTCAAACAAACAGCCATCCCTACAGGCTCACAGGGTTTTACTGTGAAAGCTACAGTAACTTCACATTCCCTTCAGGACTAACACTCTCATCTCCCTTCGCTTCAGCTGCCTTGTTAATAAATGTTTCTGATTGACCTGTCCAGGCACGTGCGGCATCCTGCTTCGCAAAGTGAACGGGACGGCGATCGTCCAGCTGCCCTCCAAACATCAGGTCCAGGTAAGAGCTGCTTCTCCACTTCCCCTCAGACTGACCGTTCCTGTTACTGCGCTCTGACGCTGGCCGTGTGTGCAGGTGTTGGAGACGTGCATGGCCACCGTGGGGAAAGTGTCAAACATCGACCACAACAAGCGCATCATCGGGAAGGCCGGCCGGAACCGCTGGCTGGGCATCAGGCCGTCCAGCGGGCAGTGGAAGAGGAAGGGCGGCTGGGCGGGGCGCAAAATCCGACCTTTACCCCCCATGAAGAGCTTCGTCAACCTGCCCTCTGTGACCGCCAAAGCATGACCACGTCTGACCGCGAGATGCTTCACCCGGCGGGGAGTTTTCAGAGAGCCGGACTGAGAAAAGCGATAGTTTCACTCAGTTTCAAATACAAAGCCAAACACGTTTACTGTTTACTGGAGGAGCTGATAATCAATGGAGTCTTACATCCACCAATTAGCACACACGGCTAAATCATCACCTCAGAGTCTCTAATAGACCTGATTCTGTGGTTTCTGACTCTGTATGACTCACTGTATCTATAAACACGGACTACAGTGTTTTAACACAGCTGAAAAAACAGTAGCCTGAACGTTTTATAGATATTTTGAGCAAACTGTCGCTTTAGAGTCCATCAGAAACGTATCTCGGGTCTCTTCCTGCTGGTCAGTGTTGACGTTGGGATTAAATGACGTGGCCAACTGAGAGATGCTGCTGTGTGAAGTGTAATAAGTAAACAGACGGACTGTGTTCAGAGTCACGATCAGACGTTTGAGTTTCTCTGTTCAGCCTCTCTGCAACCTTGTTGGTTGACTTTGTCTGTGGATTGTTTTCAGTGCAAATGTATGCAAATATTAAAAAATCATAAAATAAATGACAATATTGTTTAAAATAATGTGCTGCAGTCTTACTAGCAGACTGGTTTTAAAACACTCTGATGATGGTATTTGATTTTATGATTGTTTTATAATTTTAGTAATAATATTAATACTGATATTTTAACTGCTTGTTTAATTTACTGTTTGTCTTTTTTTTAGCTTATTTTTATACATTTGGGCCAAAAATGACAACATATAACTGACACAGATCAGACACCTCTGTGTTTTATATCCGCCTGTGTTGATGCACAAAATATATATTGAATTTTTTTTTCTTTTAAATAATCATTTTTATTACTGGACATCTTCTGAAAACTGAAGAAGAAGAAAATCGACGTACACAAAATCAAAATTATTTTATTAAACACAGCATGGAAAGAAAACAATATAAAATCAGAATGTAAATATACGTCCATCATAACATGCGAAGGTTAAACCAGGTTTGCCGTTAGTGGTTTGTTTAAAAACACTTTAAAATGAGGTTTTTGTGCAAAGACGCCGGTTTGTAAATCTCCCCGATATTAAACAGATCAAAGTGAGACTCAGACGTTAAAATCCCTTAAAGGAGCTTAAAGGGTTCTTTTAGAGCCCGACCGATACCTCGCTGACCAGAACATCGGCCGATGTTTACTGAGAGCAGTGAATATTAGTGTCCTGTTTCATACTGTAACAAATGTGCTGTGAGGAGCTCGGCTGAGATGATTTCGGTGTTTCTGCTCTTATTAATAGAGACTAAACCATCACCTTTTACACCAGCAACAAAAACTGAAGTGCAGAATCTGAACTATGATGAACATTTTCAGTTTAGAATCAGAAATTCGCTCTGAAGTGAAAACATCATTAATAGGAGCAAAAATGTCAAAATTCAACTTTTACCAGCAGGAATTATATTTGGGGGTAACAGATTTCAGTTCTCACCAGGAAGAATTTACAGCTTTTCCAAAATAATTTATTAAGAGGAAAATATTTTACAAGTATGAATTAAATTTTAACATGTATTAATTTTGTTTTCACAAGTAAAACTAATTCTGACGTATTGAATTGATTTCCTATTAAAACTGTTACGTGTGCGAAATTCACTTATCTAAAAACACAAAAGGTTTACTTTTACAAGCTTTAATGTAAAATTTCACATTTTTACTGGAACTAATTACATTTAAACTAAAATACCATTTATGGTAGAACAACATGAGAAAAAACTGAAAATGTAAAAATAATAAAAATAAGAGCTCATTAACAGAAACCAATAAAACCAGGAAGTATTTAGTGAAGCTCCGCCCCCAGCGCGTTGAAATTTATATTAAGACGTTTCAGCTGTTTGATCTTAAGAAATTTGACTATTAAAACTGTATAAAACTAATAAAACCTGATATCTGACAGTCGAATCATCCAGTTTATCTAAATTCCAGAATTTCTGACCATATTAAATAATCGTGGCTGATCGTTCAGCTCTTTAAAGTGGGTGTGGTGTGTTTAGTATCGGTCGGGCTCAGTTTATTCCTACAGGAGGTTAATTATTACAGTTACAGTACGACACTCAGACATGAGGCTACAGGAGGCACATAAACACGCGGCTGACGAAGAGACTTCAAACGGAAAACGATTAAAATGATGAAACCGACACAAACCGGAGTTTCAGTTCTGTCTGAGGTGATTTTTCACTCTGAGAGCTTTTAGGAGGAGAAGATACGGAAACATAAACTACAGGCTAAACGAGTGGAAACAGCATCAACTTTGTGAAAATACACATAAAACTATTATTTTAATCTTTACTGTATGTGGTATTTACCCACAGAGTACCCATGGGGGCGGGGGGGGGGCACTTTAATCAATGCAGATAGAAGTATTTTAACTTTATAAAACACACTAAACTGAACTGAACGAACCCACTAAAGCAGATTTAACTATCAGTCTAAATGAGAAAGTTGGTTGTAGCCAAACGACAGTTACGCTTCACATTTTAATACACAAAATTACTGTTTATTTGTTCTGTTTATCATTAAAAATAAAATCTAAAATGTGCACATTTTATATCTCAGTTATTAACAACGTATTAAACTCAGCAAATAAACAGAAATGTGTAACTGCACTCAGAACATTCTGTAACGTCAGTTGTGCTTCGGACCCCCACAAGTGGATGAATCTGCTGATTGAGAGAGAATCAGAGAGCTCACTCTGAACTGGGTGAAGCAGCGTCTCTGAGGATGAGAGTGAATGATCTACTATTATCATCACATCTTCATCAGTGTGATGTTGATTTGAGATCATCTGAGGCGAAACATCGAGCCGGACCTCCTTTTTGAGTCTGTGTGAGACGTTAATAGGTAAAGACGTACGACGTGGTGTGAAAAACTCGACGCCTCTGAGTTTTAAATGATTATTTCAGGCTTTACAGGCGACTCACAGCAGAACACACTCAGCATGTTTTAGTATATTTAGTTTATACTCTCCTCACTCAGTAACGACACTACGTTCAGTTCTAACATAGAGAATCTGACACAGTGCAGCTTTACTTTAAATCCCTTTCATTCAGAGCAGCTGGAAAACCAGCATTGTAAAAATGACATTTTCTCTATTTTATTTCGGCCTTTTTTCTCAGTTTATTCTTTGTTTTGTTTTTTCTACTTTCACTCTGCAAAAATATCTCGGCGAGTGGATTTATCTTAAATCTACTGGACGCATCTATTTAGACAATGTTTTGGCAATTTAATAAAAAATCTCTGCCTGCTTCCACACCTTTGGCCTGAGTCTACACTCAACTGCACTAATTACATGGACGTCGTTACCCTGACCCCGCCCCCTCATGAATATGCGAATGCAGTGCAGTGTGTAAAACTGTATTTGGCAGTTTCGGGGCTTCAGTGCTTCTTTACACAAACGGAGCAGCCAAAGAAAAATTCCTGTTCTTTCCCAAAACTGGAGTTTTTTGCTTCTAGAAAGTGCTTTCGTTATAAATAATCCACACACCGCTCACCTGATCAGGTGTTTAAAGCGAAACACTGACTGATCTGGAGGCTGTAACTCATCCACCCTCCCAGATTTTACAAGAAAGTAAACAAAAAATAACAAAGAGGTCAGAAAGCTGCCCCGTACAGCGGCCTGCAGTAAAACAAACACACACAGAGGGAAGGACTGTCTGCTCTGGGCTCCTGGAGGAGAGACGGAGCTCAGAGACACGGACGTGAGGACCTTCAGCGCCGCGAGAGAAAACGAGGGAATAAAGACTGTTTTAGCAGAATGAGGTGAAGAACGTAGAGAACGAGGGAAACACAGCTAGAACTGAAGGCCCTGCAGTCCTTTACTCGGACACTGGGTGGCGCCATGGCAGCTTTAACTCTGTTAATTCTCTCATTAGTGGAAGATGAACGACTTTAACATCATATAGATTCACTTTAATACCCTCTTCATTCAGAGCAGGCGGAAAAACAGCATTTTAAATGACAAAATTATAATAATATAACAGATTATACTATTATAATTTTCTCTTTACTTCATTTTTTTCTCATTCATTCTTTGTTTTGTTTTTACACTGCAAAATTATCTTGGAAAGTGAAATTAACTTATTCTGCTCAACATCTAGGATTCTAGTCAGTATATCTAATATTTCTCATGTTCTGAACTCATTTGATTTTATTAGGTGATCTCACTATACTGCAGATCATTTTACTTATTCTGAGAAATTTATATAACCAAGTGAGATAATTCTACACTTGAAATCACTTAAAACACTGAAATCATTTGGTCTTCTGTTGACACATAATTACATAATTAATTAAGTAATTTAATACTATACAACAGTCAGTTCCGGCCACGCGAGCTGATTGGTTGAGCAGCGTTCTAACGATGCGGTTATTTCACCATAACATCACGTTTTTTTCACAAACACTGTATCACTCCGCTGAGACGCTGTTGCTAAGCAACGACTTTGACCGCTGTAGGAGACGCTCAAGGCATTTGAACGTTTTTACTTCTTACTTTGCCACAAACAGAAAATGGACACTTTTAAGATCACATTTGACCGACAGCCGATTTGGTCAGACGACACTAAAGATGAGACGACACTGAAGATGAGACGACACTAAATTCCCAAACTGTCATCACCACTGAGCAGCTTTTCAGTCGGCAGCTGAGACAGAAGAACAGCTGAACAACCTGGAATCAGCCAGAAATGAACCCAACACCATTCGCCAAACTAAATGGGCTGTAAGATGCTTTACAGACTGGCTGGAACAAAACAACATTAATACTGATCTGGCAAAAACTGACAAAACTGAGCTGAACTTGATATTGCGGCAGTTTTATGGCTCAGTCTGATTTGGTCAGACTCTGAAGATCAGACTACACGTTTGGCGAATGGTGTTGGGTTAATTTCTGGCTGATTCCAGGTTGTTCAGCTGTTCTTCTGTCACAGCTGCCAACTGAAAAGCTGCTCAGTGGTGATGACAGTTTGGGAGTTTAGTGTAAGGAGCTGGAGAACGAACTGCCGGCTGAGCAGCGAGTGGGCGGAGCTCGATACTCTGATGTAGCAACAAGCTGCTCGTTAAGGAACTATAATTTGGTGAAGGAACTGCGAACTTTAAAACATATTAAACGCCGTGTTCACGGCTCACACAGAACCACTTTTTCTTTTTTACTAAAGAACCCTTGAAGAACCATCTTTTTGCATAGATTTAAGATCATTTCACTTCCCAAGATTTAATTATCTGCAGTGTATTTAGACATTTTCCTGCTGCTGCTTCAAATCATGTTCATTTCATTTAATATCCTTTATTATTATGATAATGATGGTATTAAATACAGAACAGGGTTCTCAGTGGAGACGAGTGTAGTGACTGTACTGTAACTGTGTTCGGTGCTACTCTCTGCATTCTGGACCAGTCTTAGTGTTTTTTGCTACGGCTGTGCTTTGACAGTGAGAGGCAGGTCAATGTGTTAATATTGTTCTGTTACAGTAAAAAACAAGTTTCTGAAAAATGATAAACCAGCGCAGATTCAGGTTAAAGAGGTCCAGACTCTCACAGCCACACCTGCCCTCAGCGACACACCTGCACACTTCTGTTTGTGCAAAAACATCCCACACAGGGTTTCACAGGAAGCAAGTAAACAAAGTAAACAAATAAACAAACACACAAAGTGCATCAACAGCTGCCTCAGGTGGCGACTTGTCGAGAATCAAAAATACGGATTTCTTTTAGAAGTGGCAGCGAGTTTTTCTGTATATTAAAATATAAAATATTAACTGTTTATATAATGTAAAAAAACAACGACAAAAAACACAAATATAAATGTGAAAACACTGAAAGTGAGACAGTAGAGTTTCCACAGGAAACAGTACTGCTGCGTCAGACTGGCTGGTACTCCTTTAGCTCTACCTGTCGCCACGGCTGAGTTCAGCTGAGTTCAGGTGAGTTCACATGGGCTCGGGCGACCTCAGGTGAGTTCAAGTGAGCTCAAATGAGTTCAAGTGAGTTCACATGTGCTCAAGTGAGTTCAGGTGACCTCAGGTGAGTTCATGTAAACTCAGGAGACCTCAGGTGAGTTCAGGTAACCTCATGTGACCCCAGGTGAGCTGAGGTGAGTTCACGTAACCTCAGGTGAGTTCAGGTAACCTCATGTGACCCCAGGTGAGCTCAGGTGAGTTCAGATGTGCTTGCTGTAGCCGAAGATGCCCACAGGAAAGTGCTTGACGTGGGTGGGCCACTGAGCGGCCAGCTGGAAAAACTTCACATCGTTCCACTCCACACCATCTATAGAGACTACAACACAAACAGAAAAAGCATTTCAAAATAAAAGTCAACGCACTGAGTCAGAACTGTTCACAGTGGTGGTGATAGGAACCAGACGTCCACCTCTAAAAGCTCCTCACAGAAAGTTCCTACATGAAATGGTTATGAATTCACTGCCTGATGACTGAGACACTGTTTTATGATAGTTTAGAGAACTTAAACTCCATTCATGGTGGAGGGATACATAATATGCAGGGTGTTGTGAGGCAAAATAGTCCCCAAAGAAAACTTATTATTTCAGATTTTCCACTATTTTCCATCATCAACATTCCATATAAACTCAGAAGACTCGTGTAGGTTCACTGGTGGTTCTGGATAGTAAATAAAATGTCTATATCTGTGTTGTAGTCATGGCGACCCCTGGTTCCTATCAGCACCACTGTAAAGACATCTGAACCATTTCACACCAAACCACTCTGAATCTCTCTGATTACACCTCACACACTGAGTTATGGGGGGATTTTGAATTTTGAAACACTGTGTGCAAATTTGAGTGACTGACTGATTGATTGATTAATTGATTGATTTATTGATTACCTCGGAGCATGGTGTTCTGATGCTCTAGTTTGGATTGGTTTATTGGTTGATTGGTTGATTGATTGATTAGCTCGGAGCATGGTTTTCTGATGCTCTAGTTTGGATTGGTTTATTGGTTGATTGGTTGATTGATTGATTAGCTCGGAGCATGGTTTTCTGATGCTCTAGTTTGGATTGGTTTATTGGTTGATTGGTTGATTGATTGATTAGCTCGGAGCATGGTTTTCTGATGCTGTAGTTTGGATTGGTTGATTGGTTGACTGGTTGATTGATTAGCTCAGAGCATGATGTTCTGATGCTGTAGTTTGGATTGGTGTATTAGTTGATTGGTTGGTTGATTGATTAGCTCGGAGCATGGTTTTCTGATGCTCTAGTTTGGACTGGTTTATTGGTTGATTGGTTGTCTGATTGATTGATTACCTCGGAGCATGGTGTGCTGGTGTTTGGCGGTGCAGATTAATCGGCTGATGCCGTCGATCACCTGACTCTTGGAGTCCAGCTCCTTCTCCTTCATCTTCTTACTGAGGAAGATCACTGCAGGGGACACACAGCTCTGCTTTAACGAGACCATCTGACAACAAAACCCATCTAATGCGCTTTTATTCCACCTTCATAACCAACAGCGAATCACAGCCTGACCTTTCTTGTTCTTCTCCTTGGTGATGACAGTCATGGCCATGCTGGGCGGGGGGGTGAGCTCCCCCCTGCAGGGCAGACGGCTGACCTGCAGAAAGCGGAAGTTACTCTTCAGCGTGTTCTTCAGCCCCGCCTCCCTTTTCTCTCCATCGCGCTTCTTCTCTCCGCCCTGCATCGTCCAGTAATCCACCTGCAGACCCATCAGCTCCCCACCTGCACCCGGAGACCTGAGGAACACGCCGGTCAGGTCACGTCCAGCTGGTCACTTGCTTTGTATATAGTCACTGATCTGTGTGATGCTAACTGTGTACATGTAAATGAATGAGGGTGAATATTAATTAAGCTGTTAGCGTTTAACTGTAGTGAAATCTGGTGGACTTTTCCTACCCGACTCCAGACATGGCTGTACAGGTGGAGGGGGAAGGGGGTGGAGTCACACAGATTTCCCTCCCATGGGGTGTGGCTGGCTGGGATGGGGGTGTGGTCAGGATGCCAATGCCGCCGCCCATAGCATCATCAGAGTCCACTGTGAGAACGGGAACAGAAGAAGACAAGGTACTTATTAATAATAATAATAATAATAATAATAATAAGTTAGTGGAAAAAACAGTAAATATTCATCAAAGTAAATTAAGAAAAAGCCAACGAAAATGCATTAAAATCGTTTCTCACAGCTGCGTATCTCTGATGTGAATATAAAAATGAAATAAATATGAATATGAACTAAATAACCTGCATCTTTGGTTTATGGACTTTAATCATATTTAAATTTATTATTTAATTGTGAAATCTCACCTGATGTTGACAGACTGTGTTCCACTATTCCCACCTTTACAACCTGAGAAAACAGTGTTTTCATTTCTAAATGCTTTTACATCAGAAACTGTACATCAGAAATTAAAGCGGGAGTTTGGTAAGAAGTTAAATCTACCCAACAGCCTCATTACCCCAAATCTAGCCAATGAGCCCAGACGTGTTCCTGTGTCTGAAGTTTGCTTTATTAATGTTTGTCTATAAAGAAGCACAAAAGAACAGAAAATATTCAGGTTTCAGAATAACTAACACTGTTTAACACACTTTAGTCCATGTTTATAGATCACAGTCAGAGTCGTAATCCAGCTTATTAAAGTCGACTGAACAGCTCCACACAGCTTTATGCTAATTGGTGGGTATAAGCTTCCATTGCTTGTTAGCTACATTAGCCTCGTAGCTAAAACTAAAGACAAGACTCCAGACACGAACGCGTCTCGGCTGATCGACTACATTTGGGTTAAAGGGGTGAATTTAGGGGTGAAACGATCACTTTAACACAGAGGAGCAAAGCAAAGCCCTACCCCAATAAACGGCACAAACTTCTGACAGGAGTCTTCATCAGGGCTGGAGAGAGAGAGAGAGAGAGAGAGAGAGAGAGGAGAGAGAGAGAGGAGAGAGAGAGAGAGAGAGGGAGGGGAGAGAGAGAGAGACGAGAGAGAGAGAGAGGAGACACAGAGAGAGAGAGAGAGAGAGAGAGAGAGAGAGAGAGACGAGAGAGAGAGAGAGAGCGGAGAGAGAGAGGAGAGAGAGAGAGACAGAGAGAGAGGACGAAAAGAGAGAGGAGAGAGAGGAGAGAGAGAGAGAGAGAGAGACGAGAGAGAGAGAGAGAGAGAGAGAGAGAGACAGAGAGAGAGAGAGAGAGAGAGAGAGGGGGGAGAGGAAGGTGTAATGTTAGAATATCAGAGTCAGTTTCAGGACATAAACACACTGTACGCTTTAATGTCCATCACAGAGATGAACGTGTCTGAGTGGATGAAGCTGAGAGCTGAAGGAAAAACACAACAACACGATGGAGAAGATGATCCTCCAAACCACCAGATGGCGCTGACTGCTATCAGTCAAACTGATGCTAACTGGTCGGACATCAGCCTCTGACAGTGTTCCAATCCAGGGGCTGCACCTGAAGACCGATGGCAACGAAGGACCCAACAGGTGGAACCTTCACCCGCCAGCATAACAGAGGCTCATATTGTGATAACGATAAAATATACGATTTATCGTAAAGCCCTAGTACCTGTGCATGTTACTAATACTGACATAACTTCTATATTTACATATTTATACATTTAAAATATAGCCTACATGCACATCTTACATACACATACAGCGCCACCTAGTGTACCACAGTAGCCACGGTTCAATGTTGCTAATGCTGACCTGAGCAACATCGTTTTAATGATGAAACACCTAAAACAGCAACATGGATATTAACAGAATGTCTGATTTCCACAATCATTATTAATTAAACCCTGCATCACAGCATCGGCACATCTGATCAACATGTGTTGGAAAGGTGGAGCCACAGTGGACTGAGAGAGAGAGAGAGAGAGAGAGAGAGAGAGAGAGAAGTGGTTGATACATGAAGTGAACTCAAAGAGAAATGAACAAACGGAAGTCAGAGCCGTGTACCTGATGTAAAAATCAAAATATAAACTCCTCTTCCTGGGATGCGAACATAAAGAAACAAAATAAAGAGTCAGAGCTTCAGTCAACTCAGCAACAAAACACTAAAGAACAGCAACAAAAACTGAAAAGAGGGAGAAGCAGCGACAGAGAGAGCCCTGGACCTGATTATTCTCTGGTTATCAGACATTTAACAGCTGTAGAGCTTTTAGGCCTGAATAAGTTGGTTCTACACCACGATCACCTTCGCAGAACAGCCTCTAGAACATTATTTACTGGGATAAAAGTGATCGCATACGGCATGAATAACTTTCAATGAATATCTTTTGAATAATTTATGAAAATTTTCCAACAATGTCCTCTTTGAAAGCTAACCTGGAGGCTAAATGGTTTGTTTCCATGGAAACACATTTTCAACAGCCATTTATCAAAGTTGTGTGCAGTCGAATCTGATCATAAAACGAGCCCACGCAGATTTCACCCACCGTTTTGTTATCAGTTATTAGATTTGAGTGCAAAAAATGCATATAAACCAAAACTATTATCAGTATCACCCATAACAGCAATAATAAGAATGAAAATACAAAATATTACTAATAATTTGTGCTCATGGCAACCCAGTACTGAAATGGATGTGCTTCAGTACACATTACACATTTAGTACACGTTAATATAAACAAATGCTGCGTCTGTTCCATTTCCCATTTAAAGCCACATTACACTGTGTTTTTGTTTTATAGGGGGTCAATATTGACATCATGATCCCGTCGGAATTCACCCCCACAGTCAGACTGAGTGGTAAAACATCCTGCAACACGACTGGGAGGAAACAAGTGATTATCTGCTTAACTTAGAGGCAGCTGGACTGGACAGTAAAATGAGTTCTTGTGGTCACTGTGATCTTCAGTGTTTCTCTGTTTCATGTGTAACTTCCACATCTAATACGTGATGAAGTTAAATCACTGTCTAAACCTGCTCTGTGGAGTAATGTTACCCTCCGGTAACCAAACCTGGGTTTGTTCTGGTGAACTAACACTGCCCCCCCCTTTGTTTGTAGAACACAAGACTCATCATGGATGTTTTTAATAAATGCTGATAAAACTTTAGAGTTACACAGAATATAAATGAAAATGAAGATGCTAAATATTTAATTGACGAGTCAGTACAGAATATAATACTATAGTGCTGAGAATGATCCACCACCCAAATAGTACCTGCTCTGTGAGGGTCCATGGGGGTCCTGACCACTGAAGAACAGGGTAAAAGGGGGCTAACAAAGTATCAGAGAAACAGATGGACTACAGTCTGTAACTGTAGAACTACAAAGTGCACCTATATAGTAAGTGGAGCTGATAAAATGGACAGTGAGCACAGAAACAAGGAGGTGGTCATAATGTTATGCCTGATCGGTATATATATATATATATATATATATATACACACATACATATACACAAACTAGGGAAAATCTGAGAATTTTCTGTGTGATGCTGATTTTAAATGGGATAAAAATTCTGATAAGCAATAATATTAACATATTATTTTACATTTATATTTTAAATTTATACTAAGTAGTTAAGCTAGTTAAACAGTGCTCACTGACTGATTTGACCTTTTGTTTTTGGTTATCACACTTAAACTGAAAAAAACACAGGCCACCCTGAATAACTTGTTGTTTGGTTATTACCTCTTATTTTTCTTAGTTTTCATTTCCCTTCATGAAAAAAGCGTTTGTTTTTCTGTGTTTACATACTAAAGGCGAGTTTTGGATGCGTTTTGCATGTTTTTGTATTTTTGTCAGCTTTTTCCTGAAACTGCAGGTCACCAAAATCACCCGATATCATCAGTCAGCCAAAATACCAGATCAGCTCAACTACAAATATATATTTATTTTGTTTGCCGCAGTATTTATCTGATTATATTACGTATTTTAATTATAAGCTGTCTGAAAAGTGGCATTAAGACAAAATTTATTAGCAGTTCCCAGAAAATAAGTGAAAGTCATTACGCATTGAGCTGATTAAACCGTGTTTTTGAGCTCTTAAAGAGAGTCCAGCGCCCCCAACAGGACACGACAAAGCCAAACCTCAATGTCACACAGTCCTGACTCGCACTACACGCACCTTTTGTGTTTGTAGGTCAGCATTGCCTCAGAGATGGGGAACTGGTGGGAGACGTTGGCCCCAGCGAGGTACTGAAGGATCCGCCCTGCTACATCAACACTGTCTGTAAACAAACAAACAAACAAACAGCCGATCAGAGTCAACACAGCTTAAAAGCTACTTACAGACTGAATTACTGAAGTGGAACTTTGTCCATCCAGCATCTGTCAGCGCAGGAGCTGCAGGGCTGAAATCAGCTTCTTATTCAAATTCTCTGTTCCACCTTAAAGGGGAGTTCCACCATTCTCTCAAAATTCCCCCATAATTCAGTGTGTGAGATGTAATCAGAGAGATTCAGAGTGGTTTGGTGTGAAATGGTTCAGATGCCTTTACAGTGGTGGTGATAGGAACCAGGGGTCACCATGACTACAACACAGATATAGACATTTTATTTACTATCCAGAACCACCAGTGAACCTACACGAGTCTTCTGAGTTTATATGGAATGTTGATGATGGAAAATAGTGGAAAATCTGTGCTGGTCTGAGTGGATCAGACACAGCAGAGCTGCTGGAGTTTTTAAACACTGTGTCCACTCAGACCAGCGCAACACACACTAACACACCACCACCATGTCAGTGTTACTGCAGTGCTGAGAATGACCCACCACCCAAATAGTACCTGCTCTGTGGGGGTCCATGGGGGTCCTGACCACTGAAGAACAGGGTAACAAAGTATCCAGAGAAACAGATGGACTACAGTCTGTAACTGTAGAACTACAGAGTGAGACTATACGGTCAGTGGAGCTGATACAGTGGACAGTGAGTGTAGACACAGGGAGGTGATTGTTCCTAATAAAGCTCTCAGTGAGCGGTCACTCATTCACTGAAGCTCCTAAAACCAAACCGGAGAGGGTTATTAACTCTGCAGCAGCGTGTTTACCTGCAGCCGGCGGCTCCGTCCTGCAGAACAGCTCCCTCCACGCCGTGTCCATAAACAGACCGCTGAACCTGCTGTCGAACGCCGACACGCACTTCGCCAGAGGGTGAGAACCTTTAACCACAAACAGATCAGAACGTCTGTAAACATGAGATTAATGAGACAATCAGTGAGCTCAACATGAAAGAGTCAAACCGGCCGAGACGCGTTTGGTGTCTGAGGGTTCCTTCTTCAGCTTTAGCACTGGAGCTACGAGGCTAATGTAGCTCAGGTTTTTGTAAATAACTCAATAATATTGGAGATACTGAACAGCGTCACTCAGTCTGAGGAGAGTGTGATGATTTAGGCCTGCAGTTAGCGCCATGCTAATCAGTCACTATAAGCTTCCATTACTTGTTAGCTGCATTAGCCTCGTAGCTCCAGTATAAAACTGGTCGACTACATTCGGGGTGAGAGGAGAGATGGGACAGGTCGATCCTTCCTAAAAGTAAGAGTAAAAACTAGCGGTGTAGCGATCCAGTGCTTTACAGCCGGTTAGCTCTGTGCTGCTAATAAACCAGATACTGTTCAGTCCTAAAGTCGCTAATATTGTATTTTCAGAATGTTAATTAATGTCAGTCTGAAATGAAAATGAATTCATATTATGTTAATATAATAATGCAGTGTGCATCGATGTATTAACCTAAACATTAACATGTCAACATAAAGCACAGTTTGCACTGTATTATCTATTATACAGAGGCGTGACTGTATCGTATCATACTGATCGATATATTATGTGAATCGTTACAGCCCTAACGGACCCCCAGGTGTCGTGGTGATGGGCTTACCGATCGGTATGATGAGGAAGCGGATGTAACTCAGCCAGTCGGGCGTTTTGTTGGCCAGCTGCTCCACGAAGAATCGCAGGATGGTGCTGAGGTAGCTTTGATCTCCCGCCACGGCGACCTTAACGGTGGGTGGAGTCTGAGCATTGCAGTTACAGCTATGGTGACATCCGCATATTCATAAGGGGGTGGAGTTAGGGCAACAGAGGTCATATAATCAGTGAAATTACTGTATTTTTTTATCACGATTCTTAGAAATACATCAATATCTGAATGACTTCTCAGGATATAGAACATCTCAAAATGATTTAAACGGCCACTTTATCAGAAACACCTCCGTTGTTGTTCCATCTTGCTGATGTTAGAGATCATTCAGTCCTTCACCAGTGATCAGTTTCTGACCAAAGGAGGAACAAAGTGGGTGTTTCTAATAAAGCGACCAGTGAGTGGAGGTACAAGGTAGGTGTTTCTAATAAAGTGGCCAGTTAGTGGAAACACAAGGTGGGTGTTTCTAATAAAGTGGCCAGTTAGTGGAAGCACAAGGTAGGTGTTTCTAATAAAGTGGCCAGCAAGTGGAAGTGCAAGGTGGGTGTTTCTAATAAAGTGGCCAGTTAGTGGAAACGCAATGTGGGAGTTTCTAATGAAGTGGCCAGTTAGTGGAAGCACAAGGTGGGTGTTTCTAATAAAGTTCTAATGAAGGTCAATGTGTGTGTGTGTGAGTGTGTGTGTGTGTGTGTGTGTGTGTGTGTGTGTGTGTGTGTGTGTGAAGCTCACAATCTCTGGATGCGAGTTACGATGGTGTTGAATGCAGCTTGAACATCTGCAGAAGAGCAGGTGGACACGATAGGCTGGGCCTGTTTACGGAGAACCTCTGCTACATACTGAGAGAGAGAGAGAGAGAGAGAGAGAGAGAGAGAGAGAGAGAGAGACATAGTGTGTTAATGTCTACAGCAGCTCTGATAACTTTAGTTTTTAATTAGATTATTTAACTATCCTAATTTAATTTCTAATTTGATTTTTAATTGAATGATTTTCTCTTTCAAATTTATTGTTTTAATCATGTTTTAATTATGTTTTTAATGTTGTTTTTAATTATGATTTTCTATTTGTGTTCACTTTATGTTTTTTAACCAACTCTGACTCTGAATTTTCTCACCTGTAAAGCACTTTGAGTGACAGCAGTGTTTGAAAGGTGCTGTATAAATAAACTTGCCTTGCTAAACTAAAACCAGGAAAATAAGATGATGTATGTGGTGAGACAGCAGCACCGTGCGGCGTCTATACGGTCTTGCTCAAACCGCAAGACACCCGACACAGAAATCCATCTGATTGTCCAGCTGCTCATCTGGAGCTCGTCTGGGCCGTTAATCAGCCATCACTGCACAGCAAACAATGAAGCTGCCCGATCGAGACGTTTAGTCCAATCAGTCTTAAAATCAGGCTTTATTCACATAGTGCAAGGCTGGTCTAACACTGCCCTCTAGTGGCTGAACTATATTATAACAGGAGGATGTTTTTAAAGATGAATGCTTTTGCAGTACTACAAAATAAATAATCACACACTTTTAAGAACTTTCAATATTCTTCACTTAAATACAATGTGCTGCCCCTTACAGAATTTCCATATTTTAAAATTTCATGAATTAAAGGACCAATAGAAATATTCCAAACTTCCTTGATATACGCATATAAATTCTCCTTAAACCTACATGACAAGTTAAGAGAGTTTTTCCCCTCTCTGTACAGTTCTGTCTGTATGTATACTGTGTACTCTCTATATATACTGCCTCTATAAATATATACTCTCTCTCTCTCTCTCTCTCTCACCTGTCCCTGCCAGTCCACAGTGTTGATGAGGATGATGGTCTCTGGAAGTCTCTCGTCAGAGATCAGGATCTGATTCAGCTGATCATACACCGACTTCCTGGGCACCTGCAGAAGATCGAGGATTTATAATGAGTTATAATGATTATTATGTTATGTGCTTAATGTGTCACGTTGCTGTCTAACTCAGTCCAGCCAGTGAGCAGCGCCCCCTGGGGCAGTGAGGGGCTAAGTGCCTCGCCCAAGGACATGACCAGGAACACTCAGTGAGTCAGTCCGGGGATTTAAACCCACAACCTCTCAGCCCTCCTACCACTATTATTTATTTCAATAATATTGTTCTAAATATCAATTCAAACATTTTTATTTGAATTATTATATTAGTATTATTATTCTTCAAATATGATTTGCATAATTATATTGTACTTTTAAAAATAAAAATAACTAATAGATTTTTAAAGGGGACGTATTATGCTAATTTTCCATGTTCCAAATTTGATTTTTGCTCTACTGTAACAGATTTACAGCTTCAATGTTCCAGAAACACATTATTGTCCTCATCCTGTTCATCTCTATTCACCCTCTGTCTGAAACGCTCTGTTAGAGCTCCTGTGTCTTTAAGCCCCGCCTCCCGATGAGCCCAGTGTGCTCTGATTGGTCAGCTCACCCACTCTGTTCTTATTAGTCATCTTGCTACAAGTTCCGCCCCTACACGCCCCTTCAGCCCGCTGTGGCTGTTCCTACAGTGGTTTCGGTTCTGCTGTATCAGTTTGATTCAAAGTTGATCCTGAAAGTCCAGTAGAACAAGCTGGTAGAGCTGATCCACCTTCGTGAGCTGGACCGGAGCTGGACGTTTCAGAGCGGGAAGCTTTTACTCTGTAGCTCTCTGTGTGAGGGGGCCGAGCTCGCTGGCAGGCGGGCAGTAAGGACTGTGTTACGAGATGATGTCATCCTGTAACAAAGGAAAAGGGCTGGAATTCCAACCAGCTGAGAAAAGTGGGTTCTGTGGGAGAGAGTTTCCCCCTCTGGAGGGAACGCTGAGCTTTGGGACTGCAGAACGTTTATATCAACAAAAAGATACAAAACATTGAAGGAAAGAGAGAAACTGGAAACGCAAGACTGACCCCTTTAAAAATCATTTGAAAAGTG